CCGTTCAATGAGCATTGAATCATACTTGTAAGTATACTCCTCACTGAATTTTTTCCTCCTAATTTCTCTAATTTCTGCAGGGATCATGTGGAAGAGGAGGAAAATTTCTGCAATGAAGTTTGAAGAAATTTTTTCTCTTTAAAAAATATAAATAAAGGGCATATGGCTATCTTCGTAGCTGCAGCAGAAATTAGATTTCACAGTGCTCTTAAAGTAAGTGTCCAGATCTGCATGGTGACAAACCACACTGAGGTTTGTCACTGATCTCTCATCTTCATGAACTTCATGATTATATAACAGTATCCTCATTTGTGTTTATAGTCCTGTTTATAGCAGTTTATAACTCTTTTAGTATCATCCATGTTTACTGCTGAAGATTTGACAAAGGAGCCCCCTTGTACTGTCAGAAAAGCCCCTGGGATTCCTGAGCAGTAACCAGACTTGCCTGCAGCCAGCCAGCATAAGCTCCGTTCTTCCTCTGCATTTCACAAAGTGGGAACAAAAGCTTCTCTGTGCAGCACCTAAAGCTCCTCTGTCACCCAATGTAACATGTTTCAGGAAGCCCTTGGGTTTTTGCCCAGAGACACATTTTGGATCTGAAACTGTTATTTCTTTAATCACTGAGAGTGGATTTGGCATTTTATGTGTAGTTTATATGATCATAAAATGGAAATCTCTTATCATAAGTATGTTCATTTGCTTAAGGAATGGATGTAATACATCTTATGAAAACACCAGTGACTGCAAGCAGTTTAAAATGGTCTTATGAGTTACAAGAGGCTTCTCAGGCATGGAACACATTTTCAGCAGATCAGTCAATCAACACTGAGATCCCTGCCTTGGCCCATCATCAGTGTTGATGGGCCAAGGCAGGGATCTCAGTGTCCTGAGCTGGAGGACCATGACTGTGAGAATAATCAACTAACTCTCAGTAAATCCTGAAATTGTGTGGGATATGATGCTCCAGCTGGATCCTTACAAATCTATGGGGCCTGATGTGATTCATCCAAGAATCCTCAAGGAGCTAGGTGATGTTATTGCAAAATCCCTCTCAATGATTTTTGAGCAATCTTGGGAGTCTGGAGAGGTCCCAGAGGTTGGCAAATATTGTCCCAGTTTTCAAGAAGTGCGAGAGATAGGACCCTGGAAACTACAGGCCTGTTGGGGTCACTTCAGTGCCTGATAAAGTTAGGGAGAAGATTATTCTGGGAGGTGTTGAAAAACACTTGAAAGACAGTGCAGTCACTGGTCACAGCCAGAACAGCTTCATGAGAGGAAAGTCTTGCTTATCAAACCTGATTTCCTTTTATCACAAAATAACCCAGCTGGCTCATCTAGGGAAGCTAGCTGATGTCATCTTCTTGGATTTCAGTAAGGCTGTTGATACTGCCTCTCACAGGGTTTTTCAGGACAAAATGTCCAGCACACAGCTGGATAAACCAGTCACTGCAATGGGTGAGCTACTGGCTCACAGTTTGGGCACAAAAGGGTTATAGTAAACAGGCAGATATCATCCAGTTTCAAAAGAGAGTGATGTCCACTTCCAGATTTCTACCAGTTTGGCTGCATTGTCAGTGAACTAAAATCTGAGTATTTCACACAGAAACTGTGATAGAAAGACAAAAGAGGAGCTGCAGTAAGAGAAACTTGTCCTGTTTTTGTCCAGTCATCCATCTTAGGGAGAGTGAGAAATATTAAGTTTTATAGGCTGTCCTGGAATTTTTTGTTTACATTAAAAGCCAGGTTCTTTACTAATGTGTAAATAGGATGCAGATTAAACTGATATATCATAATAAGAGTGTTGAATCCACTGAGAACCTGGAATTAGGTGTTTTTAGGACTTGAAGACTGAGCACACATAACCGGTAAATTCAGATTTGGTACAGAACAGACTGAATAAAGAAGAAAGGAATCTGTTTAAAGATAGTTCTGATAACCTTAAGTAGAATAAGAGTTTTTCTTACTCTTCTTATACTGCAAATTTAACCATTTAAAATCTGTGCCAGAGGCTGTGGGAGACCATGCTGCAAAGCAAGTAGACTACATTATTTGAAAAGTTTTGACAAACAACTGATGTCTGCCTCTGACTTGGCAAAATGCAGGTCTTTGTGACCATTATGAACGGGCAGAGAGAACTTGCTTAAACTGTGAATGACAGAATCAGAATATTCAAGCATAATGTGAAACAGGATGTTGTATAGAGTGAGTCAAACACTTTTTTTGTCAAGGAAAAAAAATATCAGAAATCCTTTCTTCTATCAATTGATTTTAAAAAAACCCATGAAGTACATTCAAGAAACAGTGGGAAAGATTTTCCAGATAGTCTACATGACAGTAGTATTTTGTATATATTTTGTTCTGGGAGTAGCTATTGTCACTAAATAGGTGTAAATACTTTTAGGAAAGCCAGGACTAAGTAAAAGCTAGAAATGTTTTCAAACATTTCCACTTTGCTGATGCAAATCTAACTCCATAGGGAAATAGTTTTCTGTAACGAGTTCCAGATGTACTTGTAAAAGTTACAATGAAAAGGTAATTATGTTGTAAATAGTGGGAATGCTTTTCTTCATCAAAGTGAGAGTCTCTTTATTCCTGGACTCAGTTAGCTGGAATAAGAAATACACTCTGGGAAGAGCAATTCTAAACCCCTGTTACTGATTCTCTAAATTACTCTTTCCAGGACAATCAGTATTTACTTCAGACAGATCCTCTTTCTGATGAATGGAAACTCTACACTGAATACATAGAACACATGATTTTAGATGGGCTGTTCAAAGCTATCAAGTGTCTTCTTCCATATCTGAATGAAAACAGTGAGGCAACATTTAAATCCACTCCTTTATCTGAAGTGCAGCTTTTTCTTAATAGCATTGAAATAACTTTTAAACTTTCTTTGGGCTAAATGTCGATGGCAATTTCTATGATATTATGGGGGAACTAATCAAAACCAGCTAAATACTGTATCACCTGTAGATAGACTGTTAAATACTTTGGAAAAGACCCTTTTCAGTTATTCCTACTTTTGCTACTTTTCCATTTTTGTTTGTTTGTTATTTTTTTAAGTGTCACAGTTGACCTTTCCTCTAGGCTACATTAGAATGTAATTGTTTTGCCAGCTGACTCACACCTATCCAATGGCTAATGCCAAGAAGGCTAATATCTCAAGAGAGGGTGTGAGGACTTTTTCCCATCTGTTCCTGGTGAGCTGTCATATTTGACTCTCCATAACCTCTGCTTCTCTTGTTTTATGAATGTATCTGGTCATTTCCATCAGCCACCAGCACATATTTTTAAAATTATATTGGCTACCTTCTTTTTAACTTCTTCTGGTTCACTTGCCAAATTGAAAGTAGCTTTCTAATACACTCTGAAATCTGCAGCTGGATGGACTTTCTTCAAAGCTGGTTCAGGAATTTACCTTCTACTTTCACTTCTGCATTGTGTACAGGCAATCTTTGGCTTTACAGTGCCTGTTTTACTGAGCATTTGACGCCAATGTTTTACTGAGAATTTCATGTCAACTTCTACATATTTCAGGCTGGGCACTTGTCAAGAACTGCTGGTTTCTTTGTGATTATAGGTTGAATGTTTGCTTTCTTGGCTACTACTACTCATCAGGACACCTGATACTATTTCTGCTCCCAGAGCTGCAAGAATAGCTGAGCTATGTATCAGCAATAATTTCCTTCTCTGTAAGCTCTGAGGTTGTGTCCACAAATAGCTGACAAAAGTGTTCAGTGAATTACAGTGAAAGAATTATGCTAGAAATTTAATGTTAATGCAAGTTTTTGTGCAAGAGTATTTTTGCCCGACTAGCAGGACCTGCAAAGTCTTTGTGTAATTTCTTCCTTTTGCAGGTTTTTCATATGTGGTGGAAAGAAATATCAATAAATAAATATATCAATAAATAAATATATCAATAAATAAATATATCAAAATATCACGGTTTACACAGGCAAAAATAGATTAAAATTGGTTACACTGTACAATAGTGAAAAGGAACAAAGAAAAAGTTGAACACAATATTGCATTTTTGGAGCTCTAATGGACAGTGATACTGATGGCCATAAGGATCTGAATTGCAGTCCATCTCACTAGCAAGTGTTGTAAGTTAAATCAACAAGTTGGAGGATGTGAGTAATAACAAGTGTGCTGTTTTGTCTCTAGCTGATGAGAGTGGTACTTTGAATTTTTGATGTCAGTGTGATGCATGAAATAGAAATTATAATACTTGAGATACATTTATCCAAGCAGTCATTTCTTATTAAGTTGTTTCAGGGAGCAGACAGGAAACCTGCTGCTGACTGACAAGTTATAATTGTCATTGCCATCAGTGCAATATCTTGGGTCTTGGCATGTGACTTAGGTTTAAGGATGTCTTTTCTTTCTTGAATTTAATCTTTGTCTCTTCTGCTTTTCCACTTTTGGATGATTGTTTAGCATTATGTAGATCAGATAGATACCCTGGAAGAAATAAGTCAAGTAGATATGAGGAAGAGGGACTTGGCCAATGCGTCTGTTCTGGAACAACACTTTAACAAAGGCTGGTACTCAATGGATTGATGATGAAATTGTATGTGTGGAGCACTTTCTGCTCAGTGGACAATTTCTTAGTAGAGGGAAATTGGAATTTTATTGAAATTCTGAGGGTCCAAAATGTTCATGAGACTCACTGCATTTTTCCAGGTGATCTGAGCTAAAAAACTCACAGGAAGCATATGATTTTGATTTGGCAAACAAATACTGAAAATGTCTAAATTCACCCCTGCCTCAAAATTAAAAGGTTTTTCTGTACATAAACCTGAGGCAGGTTAAATCCCTTTACTGTAAAAATCTGCAGAGTAATCTTAACCTTGAAGGATTAGAGCACCCCTTTTGTGCAGGTGGGTCAGGTAATTAGCAGTTTAATCACTTTGCAGGAGTGCAAACTATCACTGTCCTGAGTGCCCTAATAATGGCCCTGAGCAGCTCCTCCTGGGGCTCCTTCCCACACCCAGGTGACTCCACAGAAGTTCATCCCTGTGGCCTCTCTTCCTCTGAGGTACAGGGTGTTCTGTCTTGCAGCCTCCCCTCAACCCTGCCCCTGGGGGTGCTTGGACCTGGCTCTGGACCTGTGCTCCAGGTGTGGAGGACCCCACTGGCTGCATGCTCTTGCTTGCCCTTATCTCTGTCTCTCTTACCATCCTGGCTCTGCTTGCTGGTGGAACCCAGGATCTGTTTCACTGCTGACTCTGTCTAGGGCTGTTGATGCGCCCAGAATGAATGCCTGGCACTGCTGCCATGCTTAATGCCCTCTGGGACTGGGCCCTTGGTTGATGAGGGTGTTTCTGCTTGGAGCAGCCCTTGCTGCTCCATGATGAGCATGTGCCTGTTTGCACACCGAGGTACAGCAATGGTGCAGAGATGGTACATGTGAATTGAAGGCAATCCTCTTGAAAATTTGAACCATGCTCTTTAATGTAACTTTAATTAGAGAAGTGTTGGCTGACCAAAAATTGAGGCAGAAAAAATAGCACCATTGTAATGTTTGATTTTTTTCAGTGTTTAAAATACTGGTTCTTTATGAATCAGAGTTTTGCTACCAGCCTGATTTTTCCAAGTGACTAAATGTGTTTCTGTCGTTATTTTTTCCCTACCATCATTTGCAGGAAATGTGAAGACGTACACTGCATATAAAAATGGGGACTCTTTCCCAATAATTTCTTTACTATTCATTTCTAATCTGTCATGCCTCTTAATGCAGCTGAAAAAATCAACTTCATGTGCATGGAAATATCCATTTTAATGTACAATTTATAGACAGGTATTTCATTGTGTTCCTCTTTACACATTGTCAGAGGATTGCTAGTGTTTATTAAACTTCTAGCCACTTTCTTCAAATAGTGATAGGAAACTTTTCTCAGCAATATAACTTGCAAGGAGGTAATGAGGTTCAGCTGTGTCACAGGATTGTGGAATTAAGTTGAATGAGATTCAGAGTAAACACAGATGTTTGCAAAAGCCTCATGTAACTTTCAAAACAACATCAAGGGAAAAAACCATTAATCTTTGTGTATCTCTTTGCCTTTTAATTACTGTGTCTAATTACACTGTTGTGAGTGAGTCCATGTCCATATTGAACTAGACTTGTGGCTGACCTTTCTGTCAGCAACAGGTATAGCTGGTAGAGCAGATGAGCCTTTGGGATGTCTAACAGGAATGTAAGGAATATGGCTTTATTTTTTTTGGATCAGACTGGGTTCAAGCACACCCTTGTTAAGAGCTAAGCAGGTTAAGCAAAATGACTAGACATGTTTGAGGCTTACTAATACATTCAGTTGTCACTATGTGTATTTTTCTTTCTTATGGATGGGTCAAAATAATATATTTATCAAACTATTTTATCATGAGTTGCATCACTGAGGTATTTTGTGTGTTGCTGAGGTTGATTTCAAAATTTAATATATGTAAACATTTTCTAACTAGATAATGTAGGATATTGTAAAGAATAATCTTTAATCTTTCCCATAAACTGCATTTAGCAAGTTCTTCTGTGTAGAGAGTCCATCTTTGTCACTGCATAAGAACAACAGGGAAGGAGTTACACAAACTCAGCTAATATTTTTCAGAAAAAAGGAATAAGCAGGGAAAGCTGGGGAGAATGAAAATATATGTGTTCGTGTGGGGGGGATGTTGGCTCTGCAAACTGACAAACAATATCTACTTGTAATGTGGTTAGGAATTACCTGAAACATGGAAGAATCTTAAAAAGATTGACTTCACTGTAAAGCATGAAGCGGTACCTCTACAGTCCAAAGAAGTGTTGGTTATCAGAAGAAAATGTGTACTTTTGGAGGTGAGATCAGTTCTGTGCTCTGAACCAAATGATTTTTCATTTTTTGTTCTGATAACAAGCTGGAGGCAAGCTTCACTGAACTGAGAAATTGTAAACTCTTAGAAAAGGCTGTTGAAAGATAACAATTCTATGTTTCTGCGTAATGTATTCTGAATGAATCTGATAATTTAAAGCCCACTCCACCAAAATGGGAGTGATGCTTGTGTCCTCTTTATCTTCAATTATGTCTAATCTGTTTCTAATTTAAACATGATAATGCTGTTGTCAGATCAAATCTAGATTTTAAATGTTTTATTCCTTTTCATTGGCAATGTTTTAAATGTGGGCTCTTAAAGGTCCGTGGGCAGTACTGGCTGAGTCTATAAAAGTTTTGGTAAATTTAAAGGAAATAAGAATGCTTAAAAGTGAAATGACTCATAGTTCATGAGATGGAAAATATTTAATGAATGGCAGCTAAGGAACGCTTAGGCAACAATCCCCATGGATTACCTGCTTAACCTCTAAGGAATCCTAATTCAATAAGTTGTATCTTTCAGGTGAAACAGCATGGGTTTAGAAACAGATGTTTTAAAAACAAAAGTGTCCTTTAAGCTTGTTATTCAAGTATTTTCCAGAATATAGATAAATTAAGAATAACCATGATTTTAAGAACTGTTATGATATATCTGTCACTGTCAATATCTTGGAGTACCAATCAGAATTTCAGTCAGAATAAAAACTGCATCAACATGATTTATCAAGGTATATTCTCAAGTACTGACATTCTGACAACAAAAAATGTAACAAAAAGAGCTTTTCCAACTAGACATACATTTTTGAGAAAGTGAAACTAATCTGAGTACATTGCGTTTTGAATGTCCGTTCTCATGATCTCTGCATTAAGGAGTATTCACAAGTTTCAAATAAAACAGCTGATAAATTATTTAAAAGAAGAATTTTTTCTCCTCCATAATCAAGAACTAAATGAAGAATCCACCTGTATTTTTTGAAAGTTCAGTTAACGAAACATTGAAATCATTCTAAAATATATTCTAATTGCAGGCTGATTATGAAGTTTGGTCTCAAGTTAAAAGTAATTTCTTTGTTTGTGCTTTCTCCTCATCCTTAGATTTGTCAATAGAGTGTTGTTTGGGTATCTGGGGTTCAGTGACTGCCAAATTGATTAAAATAAGGGGAGAGATGGTGATGTTTGTCGTGTGGTCCCGTTTTTTGTTTACTTGTTTTGGGGTTTTAGGGGGGTTGGGGTTGGTACAGAACAATCGTTCAGTTTTGTGTAATCTGCTAACTTGCCAAGGCTGCGCTCAATCTCACTGTCTGTGCCATTGGTAAAGATGCTAAAAACCACCAGTCCCAAGACAGAGCCCTGAGAGACACCACTCATCACCAGCCTCCACATGAATGTAGAGCACTGACCATAACCCTCTGTGCCCATCCAGCCCATTCCTTACCCACTGAGTAGCCCACCCTTTGCTTCCATGTCCATTTCCAATTTGGATAAAAGGGTGTTCTGTGATACTGTGTTGTGGGCTTTACAGAAGGTTAGGTAGATGGCACAATTTGGTCTTCCCTCACAGAAAGCCAACATATTGGTCAGGCACAGTTTGTCATTAGTGAAGCTGTGCTGGCTGTCTCAGATCATGAACTTGTCTTGTACATGTTGTTTTATTGTAATATTCACCTTGGCTAGGCTTGCAAGAGCTGTAATAGAAACATATATAGAAGGAAACTCTTTATAAAAACAATCTTGATTTGCAGCATCATTCTTGTGATTTCTAAAAAATAATCCTAAATCCTGCTTGAAGAAGACTTTACTACCATTTGGCCTTGAAAAGCAATGCTATGAGAAAGTGTCAAATTATTCTGAATGACTTCCCATTTTCATATGGAAAACAGCAGTGCTGAAAAAGAAAAGTAAATGCCATTAGGATGCCAGTAGCTGGTAATCCAGGAGCCCGACTCCTTAGCTGTCAGATGTTTCCTCTGAATTCAGAGGGAATTGGTCATGGCCTGCCATTGCAGAACAGAGCCCTGGTCATTGTGTTATATAGTGATATGTCTAGATAAAAAAGAACTGTAATAGCTTAAATTGGGTCCAGAGTTCCCAAGAGCTGGGGTATGTCAAGGAGATGTAGCTATGCTGCTGTAACTTTTTCACAGAAAGAGTCCCCAGATTTCATAAAGTTTAGCTAGAAATTTTCTGCTGAACATTAACTTATACATTCAATACAGATTTTGAATGTAGTTATTAACATTCATATAATGGACTATATCTGCAGTAAACTTACTTTAATCCCTTAGCTTATGCAAGAGTTTCATGCATTTGTGTGCCTAAGGATCCATCATGAACAAAAATAACTGAGAAAGGATGTTGCTTGTTCAAATTTGTGCATAGATAAATTTTGCAGCCTAATCTGGGTGCTTTTGAATGAAAAATTCAGGATATAAAATTATATATCAACAGTTAGAGAACAAAGGTGGTGTTTAGCTTTTTCTTTATAATAAAACAGCATAAAATTATATTAATTTGTATTATGGCTATAGTTGGTTTTTTTGTATTGCTGCATTGTATCTGTCCTTCAGTGCTAAATATACAAACTGGTTTGCTCCTTTATTTAGCTGGAAAAAGCTCATTTGACTGGTTTGCTCAGTGGGTCTCATTCATTGCACTGTTAAGAGCAAAGTGGATACCTAAGTGTGGCATACTAAGGATAGCAATTAGCTATGTGGATAGGAATGAAAAATAATTATTATTCAAAAAGGAATAAATTTCTCAAATTTTGCCCTAATATATTGTGTAATTCAAGTAGGCCCTAGAAGTTCATTTCTACAGGGCTAAATGCAGTTATTAATCTCTAATTAAACAAATGAACAACTGAAAACTCACTTGGGACCCCCAAAAGCAGAATTGTTTCAAACAAGTTTTGTAAAGTTTATAATTCTCTCAACATGTCCTCCTCTTATCCCTTACTATATTTGAAATATTCTCAATTGTCTGCCACTTCTGTTGCTAGACTGGAGAGCAAGCTGTCCAGATGAGAGATTACCTGCTTTGCCTTGCTTTTATATTAATTTGCAGGCTTCATGATTTTAGAAGTGTGTGTACAGGTATGTGTCTAAATACATATATGCTTATACATTTGTTTATAGCGGCCTAATTGACGAGTCCAGCAATTTTCTGTGAAGTGTTGACAGCGAGCAGACCTTTGTTTGCAGAGAAAAGGATGCGATCCTCGGTACATTGCAGAGGCCCGGCACTCACAGTCCCCTATTAGCTTTGTGCATTACTGACCTCCACAGGCATTTCAGGGGAAGACACAGCAGGAAGAGACGAAGGTCAGTGCAGAAAGTGCTGCTGCTTTTGCAGGCAAGTATTGTGTATTTAATCATTGTCTTACACCATTTTTGCATATAAGGCTGGGCTGTTCTTTCTGGTAAAATTATTGGTCTGTAAGAATTTTTTTCTCATTTCAGTCTAAGGGTCAGTGATAAAGAGTGCTGTCACGTTCCACTGTCACACTCCATGTCACTGGCTCCACGTCACACCATCTATACTTCAAAACCCAAGTGAAGCTGTGATCACATCAGAGTTCTCTGGATGCCACTGCATCCAAATCAAGATACAATTGTGTGCATTATTCTTCCTTATTGGTTCACACCAAGTTTGTCTGTGTGTATGAAACCTAGATTTGAAGATGTGATGAAATGTGAGTAGAACCCCTTCCTGTCCCATTCCAACAGCTGGATTTAATGTTTATTTTCTGTTTGCTTAGAATTTATTATTAGTTAAGCAAAGTGATGTGATAGTCATTAATGCAGGTGTGTTTATATTTTGAATACAGAAAGGCTCTTCCTTATCTACTCACACTTCTAAATGTAAAGAAGTCAATATTTTGTCAGCATCCAGACGTAGACTACAGAAAAACCTTGAAGCAGAAGAGAACGTTTGAGTTTGAATAGGCATCCAGAAAATTTTTTAATGTGTAAAATTCTTTGATTATCTGAAAATGTACATTTATTGCCTAGGTAATTGAAAAAAAAATAGAGCAGGTCTAGAACCTTAGTGAATTTCCTGATACATCTTTAACAGCAAATACACTGCTTTCTAAATTTTAATATTTTTTGTATGTTAAGGATGATTTCATGGTATACCATGGCCACCAGGTATAGAATCCAGCTTACCATGGCAATTGGCCCTGGGCCGCACTTCTGTTGGGTCACAGGCTGTAGCAGGGACCAGAGGCACCTTTTTATACAGTGGAACCCTGAAGACTTGGCCTGTCTGTTGAAGGATTCCCACAAGTTTGTAAATGTATTATCGGAACTGTAGGCCATTTATACTAATACTGATTGAGAGCATAAAAATCTTGGTGGGGAAACACACAGATAAATCTTTAAAATTAAATTTTCAGGGCAGGATTGCTGGTTTTTATTGGACAAAATGAGGAAATCAACTTATTCATCTGACTATGCTCTGCATCTTTTATTCTAGAGAAATAAATACAATCCGTGCCTGTATGGTTGCATGACCCTAGTTAAGCAAACTTTAGATGAGCTCTTAGTTGTTTATGGTACTAAAGCCACATAAGCATGCCTTATCAGCAGCAAAGTAATGTAGGCATAAGAAAAAAAAGTATAGATGAAATATTTTGTAGTAGGCTTTAAGTGACTGCAGAGTATTCAATTTTCCAGGGGCATGCTACTGTCATGTGTTGCTACCAATGTCTGGCTCGATTCCCAGGCCTGTGGCTCAGTTCTTGAATGGTCAGGATGAGGAAGCAGCACAGAGTTATGGGGATATGTTTTAAACAAAACAGGCTCTGAGTATGCCTCATGCTTAGCACATATGCAGAGTGAATATTTGAGGAAGGAACTTTGAAATAATGCCTGTTTGGGTTTTTGCTCATGTTTTCTGAATCTATGAACTCTTCTCAAGTGGCCTAAGAAAATATATTAAATTATTTTTCTGTGAACTGAACGATATTACAAACTGAAGTCTTAGACTTCTGACTTAGTTTAATTTGCTTGCATAAAAAAAGCACTAGTAGTTCATTACCATAACCCTCCATTGGATGGAAATGCATTAGTGGTGTCTGCACGAATAAGCAATGAAGAGTAGTGAGAAGAAAAAGCCTCACACAGTACCATGTGAACCCACAGTGTCTGCCTCAATTTGTACCTTTTCAGTATCTGACAGTGAATGATAACATTATTGCAATGGTATTTACTGGCACTGCTGGAGTATGGGGGCTGTCATTTTTTTCTATTCTGAATTGTTGTGCATGGCTTTAAAAAGTGCCCAAGGCTGAAATGTGTTTCAGAGGTCGTCAAGGAGGAAACAAAGTGATTTTTTCACTACTTTTTATGAAATTCGGCAAAACAATTTGAAGCTGGAGGAGTTCCAAACCTAAATGCAGGTTATTATGGATTCAGATGGATAAGATGGTTCCTGGTGGGGATAAGTTTGTCATAGTGTCTTTCAGGAAATTATACAACTGTCTTTCGTTTTCTTCTATATTTCTTTAGCCTAAAGAAAGGAGGTTTCAAAATGGCCATTTAATAATCCCCAAGAAGAATAACCTTTGCAGCAGTCCTATTTTGTAACATAAGAACTATGAAAACCTGGCCTTGGATGGATTATAACAGAATCCTGTCTATTGACTTATATTTTATGATTAAGTCACTAATCTGGCATCCAGCTTTACTTGCATTTGTTCAGAATGACAGGAGTCCCTTTCAGTGGTCGTCACAGATTTCTCTTTTCATCAGCTTTTCCTCAGAGGTAATTGCAGCTGTACACAAGCCATTCAGTCTCCAAAAGAGGACAAAATTTATTTTAATGTCCATGAGTGCACAGTTACCTCAGAGATGAAGTTATTGTTGTGGAAGAATAGGAAAAGCTCCTGCTCTGATGAAACAGAGTGCCTGACAAGATTATGAAGCAAAAGATCTTCCTTATTTTTTATTTATATATTTTTACATGAACAAAACATTGTTAATTTTTTTAAAATATAAATTCATTTGAGCTTGAACTTATTTTACAGAACCCAAATATTTTCTAAAGTTTATTTCTAATACATTCTATTGGTTTTAGTATCTTGTACCATAAAGATTTTGCCACTGCAATGGAATTGCTGTCACTGTAAAATGGGAGTATTGCAGCTAACTGGTTTTTGTTAATGAGATTTTTTGATACTCATGAGGTATTTGAAGTTTTGAATTCAATGGATCATTACTCCCAAAGCAAAAACATGTTTCTGCATGTTAGGTGGACTTTTTTTTGTTACCTTCTAGTCTACTGATTTACATGTGGAAGATACTTATACTTGTGGTTACACATCATCTTCAAGTGTCTCCCAGAGCTGTCTGCATAGTGGAGTAATTTCTCAGGAATAAAGTCACTTCACACTGGTGTGGAGCACCCAGACAGTGAGTTATTTAGAGTAGCTGTAATGCAACCTTGTTTACTGAATACATATTCCAGGTGATTTTTTTCAAGAGAGAACTTTTGGGATTTTTTTCCCCATTCATATTAATTCCATTAAAAGATACAGTTTTATTTAGAGTCCTTGCTTATACTACAGCAGCTAAGTAATGTATACTTTTCTTTCAGTTTCCCTGAGTATCAAACATTTACCTAAATTGAATTTTCTTTGAGAATCTTGAGACAAATTCAGCCAATGCATTTTTTTGTTGTAAGAGAGATATATCTGCTTATCTCTGGTTTGAAATTTAGTTTTTTCTATTTTGTTACTAGCACACCTCTCATCCATTAATGCTACTAAAATGATATTGGATAAGAAGTGAACTGATTCCTATATATGGAATTTTAATACTTTAGAAATGTGTTTTTACTTTGAAAACAAGCAAAAAACCAAACCATAAAGTTAAGGATTCCTTCCCTATAACAAACAGAATTCTAACACAAAGGATAAAAATCCTCTTAGATTACTTTTCAGCATCAGTAGGTTTTAAATGTTGAAACTCATATTGTTACATTTGTATACCATACATATTCATGAATATTCACCTGCTGATGAGTTGGAAACCATGGGCATTGCTGAGAATGTAGTAGAAGCTGTTTGTTTATTTTTTTTAAATTTTATAGACAAGTATTAAAGATTGGATGAAAACCCCATGGAAACAAATAAATGATGAGCACATGGAGATGGAGCTCAGAAGATTTGCAAATGTGATCATTTCCCTAATGAACAGTGTTTCGCTACTTGAAATAATCTCTCGTGTTCTGAGTACTCTGCATTATGTAGGAGCCTGTAGCTTGTTAAATTCCCTTCATTAGAGAGTTTTTGAACTCAAAGGATTAAAAAAATTGGGGAAACGAGTATTACAGGATTGAACTCCCAAATCTCAAAGTACTTCTGAAAATATCTCCCTGAGTTTATTTTTTCTTCCATAACCAGCAAATTATCCAACTGGCTTTTACATAAGATTCAGAAGTCAAATTCCAAGATGCAGTCACTAACCTGCTTGCTTCTTTAGTGCTTCTGTCATTTTGTTCACAAGGGTCTGCTGTGTAAGAAATAAAGACCTGTCAAAGCATTAGGACATGGGATATGCACTCTTCAGTCAAGGATTATGCATCTGAAAAGAGCTGAAGTTTAACAAATTAAAACTTCTTGTAATTCAGAAACCAGCATTTATGGGCACAATAGTCTTTGTGCTCTACATTTGCAGAATTTTGGATAACTTTATTCCTGCAGTGTTTGTACCTTAATTCTAGAGCAAACTTTGTCAGCTGTGTAAGACATGGAGGACTTTTTCATTGTACAGCTGCACAGAGGAGCTGTGAGATAAACAGATATGTGTAGCTAAAGCAGTAGGGAAAACGGCAGTAAAAAGATATAAGTGCACACAATGGTGAATGTAAATGAACATCCTAGGGGTGGCTTATATGAATTAAATATCCTCTGGACATGTAGGTACACAGTTTGTGGTAATTGGGAGTGGGGCTGTGGCTGAGCCTCATCCCTAATGGGCTACAGCTGAGAGAAGCAGGTGAGCAGCATTGAAAGCAATGAGCCATGGAGCACTGACCAATCACCAAAGGGAACAGAGGGCACACAGGTGCAATGCATCAACATGAGGAGTATGAAAGGTTGAGCTAAAGAACAAGAAGGGCAGTGGTATGATGTTACTCTGTATGGACAGGCACCTGAAGTCTTCTGATGAGGTATGGTATTACAGGTTTTTTTTGGTGTTGTATTGTGATACTCCTCATATTGTGGTCATTTCAGCTGTGACATGTGCTGTGGTGTATGATGCAATGTGGACGCGTAATAATCCAGAATCTGTGAGGTGTCTCTCTATTCATGCCC